TGATGAGAGAAACTAAAGAGGACACCAAAAAAAAAAAAAAAAAAAAAAAAGGAAAGAAATACCTTGCTCATGGATTGGGAGAATCAATATTGTTAAAATGTCCATACTGCCCAAAGCCATCTACAGATTCTATGCAATCCCTATCAAAATACTAATGACATTCTTTGCAGATTTTTTTAATCTGAAAATTATATGGAATCACAAAAGACCCAGAGTAGCCAAAGCTATCCTGAGCAAAAAGAACAAAACTGGAGGAATCACATTACCTGACTTCAAATTAAATTACAAAGCTATAATAACCAAAATGACATGGTACTGTCATAAAAACAGACACATAGACCAATGGAGCAGAAGAGAGAACTCAGAAATATGGTGATACATCTACAGCAAACTCACTGTTAACAAAAGTCCCATGAAAATAAATACATTTGGGAAGACAGTCTCTTCAGTTAATGGTGCTGGGAAAATTGGATATACATATGCAGAAGAATGAAACTAGACCCCTATCTGTTGCCATATACAAAATTCAAATCACAATGGATTAAAGACTTAAGTCAGACCTCAAACTGTGAAGCTACTAAAAGAAAACATTGCAGGAACTCTACAAGACACTGGACTGCACAAAGATTTCTTGAGTAATATCCCACAGGGACAGGAAACCAAAGCAAAAATGTACACATGGGATCACATCAAGTTAAAAAGCTTCTGCACAGCAAAGAAAGCAATCAACAAAGTGACAATATCTGCAAACTATCCATCTGACAAGGGATTAATAACCAGAATATATAAGGAACTCAAACAACTCTATGTGAAAAAAAATCTAATCATCTGATTTAAAAAGGGACAAAAGATGTGAATACACATTTCTCAAAGGACAAACAAATGGCAAGTAGGTATTTGAAAAGACATGGATATCCACTCTTTCTCTATTTAACACTATGCCAGGATTTCCAGCAGGAAAGTATAAAATAAAATGAAATTAAAAGCACTCAGATTAGAAAGGAAGAAGTGAAACTATGTCTACTTGCAGATGTCGTGATATGACATGTAGAAAGTCTTAAGGAATTTACTAAAAAAATATATATATCAGAATTAGTTAACCTATTCAGAAAGGTTGCAGTATACAAGATCAGTATACAAAACTCAATTGTGTATCTATACATTATGAATGAATGACCTGAAGAGAAAATTAAAAACAGTTCCCATTATAATAGCATCAAAAATAATAAAATATTCAAGAATGCATTTACCCAAAGAAGTGCAAATTTATACCCTGAAAGATACAAAACAACTGAAAAAATTGAAAAAGACCAAAATAAATGGAAAACATCACATGTTGATGGATCAGAAGATTCTTAATATTATTGAGATAATAATACTCCCCAAACTGATTTACTTATTCAAGGCAATCTCTATTAAACTCTCTGATGGCTTTTTTGGCCAGAAGAAAAAAGATAACTTTTTTTTTTTTTTTGAGATGGAGTCTCGCTCTGTCGCCCAGGCTGGAGTGCAGTGGCCGGATCTCAGCTCACTGCAAGCTCCGCCTCCCGGGTTTACGCCATTCTCCTGCCTCAGCCTCCTGAGTAGCTGGGACTACAGGCGCCCACCACCTCACCCGGCTAGTTTTTTTTTTTTTGTTTGTTTTTGTTTTTTTTTGAGACGGAGTCTTGCTCTGTGCCCCAGGCTGGAGTGCAGTGGCGGGATCTCGGCTCACTGCAAGCTCCGCCCCCCCGGGTTGACGCCATTCTCCCGCCTCAGCCTCCTGAGTAGCTGGGACTACAGGCATCCGCCACCGCGCCTGGCTAATTTTCTTGTATTTTTAGTAGAGACGGGGTTTCACCATGTTAGCCAGGATGGTCTCAATCTCCTGACCTCGTGATCCACCCACCTCGGCCTCCCAAAGTGCTGGGATTACAGGCTTGAGCCACCGTGCCCAACTGAAAAATGATAATTCTAAAATTCATATGAAAATATAACAGACACAGAATAGCTAATCCAGAAAAAGAAAAAATATGGAGGACACATATACCCCAATTTCAAAACTTGCTACAAATCTGCAAAAATCAAGAGAATGTGGCATAGGCAGGAGGACAGATGTATAGATCAAATAAATAGAACTGAGGTCCAAAAATGAACGCTTATATTTACAGTCAACTGATATTCAAAAATGGTATCAAGACAATTCAGTGGGGAAAAAATAATTTTCTTCAACAAATGGATCCAGTATGTACACAAAGGATTTGAATAGACATTTCTCCAAAGATAGTAATACATGAAAAGATGGTCACCATCATTTACCATCAGGAAAATGTAAATCAAAACCACAATGATTTGAGACTAGCCTGGCCAACATGGCAAAACCCCATCTCTACTAAAAATACAAAATTATCTGCATGTGGTGGCACGTGCCTGTAGTCCCAGCTACTCGGGAGGCTGAGGCAGGAGAACAGCTTGTATCCAGGAAGGCAGAGGTTGCAGTGAATCGAGATCAGGCCACTGTACTCCAGCCTGGGCGACAGAGCAAGACTCTGTCTCAAACAAATGAACAAACAAAAAACCATAATGAGATATCACTTCACATCCCTGAGGTGGCTATAACAAAAAGGGCAAAAAATTACAAGTATTGATGAGAAGATGGAAAAATCAAAACCCTCATAGTGTCTGAATGTAAAATGGTGCAGCTGCTTTGGGAAATAGTCTGGCAGTTCCTCAAAAGCTTAAAAACAGTTACCATATGACTCAATAATTTCACTCCTAAGTATATACCCAAAACAAATGAAAATATATGTACATGTAGGAAATAAAAAGTAGTATCTTTTCCTTACCCATAGCAAGGTTCATGGTTGACATCCCGGTAATAAAAGACAAATTACTAAGGGAAAAATATAACATTTATTTAACCAAAGTTTTACATGACACAGTAGATGTTGGAAATGAAGACCCAAAGACCCAGGGAAAACTGTGTGTTTTTATGGACAGTCATGCAAAACTGTGACTGGAGGACAAAGGCATATGATCCTGTGGTAAAATAAACTTATTAGAAAGGACTGTTTGTTCAAATTCTTCTTGGACTCTAGGTACGAGACAGAACCTCTCTGAATGAGGGTGGTAAGATCTACTTTCCAGGAAGGTAGCTATGAGAATTCTTTTATGATCATGCTTCATGGGAGAAAGCTGGGAGAAGATCAGTAAACAATCTTGCTGCTTTCGTGGATACTGAGTAAATGATGTGGACCATCACATCCAAAAATAAATTATAAATAGATTAAAGACTTTAGGGTGGGGAAAACTTTGTCATATAAAACTTTTAAAGCAAAAACATTTGAGAAGAAAATAACAAAATGACTACCAAAATTCACAAACTTTTGAAATTCCAGTTTTCCTTATTCAAGGTTTATAAACAGAAGGTATTTATAAGATACAAAATATTAGTATGCAAAATAAATAATGAATGCCCAAAAAGCAGTAAGAAAAAGACAATAACCCCATTAGAAAAAAAATGTTACACACATACAAGTCACAGCAAATCCCAGAACTGATTATTCAAAGAGAATAAATAAGGAAATAAAAATTATCACCAAATAATCATGTAGCTGTGAATTAACACAAGTACTGGTTTACCCTTATCACACTTCCAAATTGTTTAAAGTTTGCGCAGAAGCAGAAACTGATACAAAAATTAAGAAAATAAATCCACCAGAATTCAGTTCTCTCAATGGCTCAGTCAACCCATGATTGTGCACTAATAGACTTAAATATTTCCATAAATAATCTGCAACAGGATTATACTCCGAGAAAGATGTATCCTTCTCCCCAACTTAAATATTCTTGCATACATGCATATACACACCCATACATCCATACATATTACCATCGTCCCTCAGTATTCCTGGAGGATTGAATGCAGGACTCTCCACAGATACCAAAACCCAAGGATGCTTTAAGTCTCATATATAAAATGGCATAGTATTTGCGAATACCCTACACACATTCCCACATACTTTAAATCATCTCTAGATCACTCAAAATACCGAATACAATGTAAACAGCTGTTATATCGTATTTTTACTTGTATTGTTTTCTATTATTGTATTGTTACTTTTAATTGTGGTTTTTTTTTTCTGAATAGTTTGACCCACTGATGCAGAACCTGCAGATACATATGGTCAACTGCTTATAACTATTGAATAGCTCTGTGTGTGTGTGTGTGTGTGTGTGTGTGTGCGTGTTCTTTTTAGGGGTATACACATTGAGAGACCACCATATTTACTAGCACTAAAATCTGGATCTGGCCTTTTCAACAAAATCTATAGTTAAAAAAAAAAAAAAAACATGCAATTTAATAAGAAAAGAAATTAGCAAAAACCTCTAAAGACAAAGAGAATGCCATAAAAAAGTATTATTTTGAAAAATACTCATAAAAAAATGTAAGAAACCACTGCCTCACTTGATTAGCCTTTTAAAAAGGGTATAAGAATATAATGATTGATTGTAACTTTTATCTTCTATAAAAATAAAAATTTCCCACAAATAAGGCCCTTTCCTTTAAAGTCAAAGAAAGCACCACCATAGAACCACATATTTGTATTGTTTAACAGTTCAGTATTTTTTATACTTTATATTTTAAAGGATCTAGAAAATAGTCTTAAAAACCATATTGCAATAAATTCTAGCTATCTTTGTAAGCTTAAGCCTTAAGTAAAAAAGTTAAAACCCATGATTCTAAATATGTTATTTGAAAACACATTTTATTTCAAAATGCAATAGCCTTTATTTTTTAATGATTACATTTTAGGATAACCATTTGAAGTCAGTTTCCTGCTTTGCAACATCAATTTTTAAAAAGCTGTGGGTCTTAAGTGAAAGAATATAAATTAATGCTAGTCCCCACTGGAGGATATGAATATATAGCTTGTTATTTAAAGAAAATAACATGTATTAAACTTCCTAGAAAAAGTTAGATCCAAAAGAGGAGTATGGATTCAATTCCTATTGTATACCTTTATTTTTGCATCAGTGCTATATTTTTCTTTTCTCCAATGTGCTTCCTGCTTCCTCAGTTTCTCCAGGTCATTTAGCAGGTCAGTGCAGCGGGTACTTAATTTATTGTTTTCCTCCTCCAGATTTTTTATAATTAGTCTATTTTGCTCTTCTTTGTTCTGTACACACTCTTTAATGTCCTGTAGAACAGAACCACAAGGGCAAATAAACAAAACAAAAACCCCAAAAATGGTGAGAATTAATCAGCAAATACAAACTGTGCAGTTTTACCCTCACAGAAGCTTCTCCTATATTTGATAGCCAAGGTCACCTGTGTACTTTTATTGGCCTCTTTTCATGCAGGTGGATGGGTCATATTTTTTCACTGGATGACAGCTTTGATGAGTACACATTTGCAAAGAGCCCATTAATTGATCAAGCTGCCTTTGATGCTGTCCCCAGCTATTTTTGAGACCCATACAGATATATCCTCCCAGACCTGGGTTTTATCAATTAATAATGCCAATCCCATCAGAATCTAATTACAAGAAGCCACATATTCACACTCCTACTTTCTTAGCTCCATTTCCATCATTAACTATTTATCTAAAAGTTATAAAGCTTGGAGTTCTAGCTTTAAAGCATCCTTATCAGAGTTTTTGCATGTGAGAAAACTGTATGGTACAGGAGGGCCTAAGGCAATTTTTCCTCCAAACCTGTCACTTTCTGTGCCACAAAGGCTAACAAAGCTTAAAGCAGAACTTCAAAGCAACAGTCCCACAAAACTATGTACAAGTCAACACACCTTAATTTCTTGACTTTTATCTTTAAATTTCTTCTCCAACTCACTGAATTCTTTCCTTAAGAAAGCATTTTCTTCATCTACTGCAATTTTCCGTTTTACAAGGTCATTTATTTCCTGTTTCAGTACTGATTCTCTCTGTGGAAAAAATTTAAATTACTGGTGAGCTTTTATTTCTAAGAAAAAATATTTTATTTCAAAGGTTTTACATTTTGATTTGCTAATGTTATGATTAATTAGCTTTCGTAATAATGTCTGTCACCAAAATTCTCATCTCCTGAAACATGTCCATGAATTTTTAACTAAAATGTGCAAGTACAGGGCCTATTTATATTGAAGAACACATAAAAACTGGACACTAAATATTAAACCACACTCAGAAAGCAAACTTTCAGAATTTAGGTGTGTAACAGGAGAAAAACAAGATTTTACAAACCATTCTAATTAAAGAAAATATATTTATAGCTAACGTAATTCCTTATTCTTTTATTTGAATGTCATTTAGAAGGAACTTTTCTGAAAAACTATTGATTTTGTAAAAGCATAAATCACTTTAAAAATTTTAAAATGGCAAGTTTGTTTTAGTACTAATAATATCTTGCTCTGTAGCCAGAATATTTAGAATGTTAAGGCTGCCATAATTTTTAACCAAACATTCTTCTCACATGTGAGATACCTAAATTACACCTACGAGGTGGATGTATCCATGACTCAATTTTTAGCTTCCCTCGTTTCTCTGGACATCTTTTCTCTCAGAAAATGTAGCGCCTCTCTTGGCTGCTAATCTTACCTCTGTCTGAAAGACTATCTAATCTATATTCCAGCCTCACCTTCCCAATCACCAATCTCATATTTCCAGCTATACAAGACCCCTCCCTTTGGATTGTCTACTACCTCAAACTAACTTGCTAAAAATGGAATCCATATCCTGATACTCTTTCCTAAACTTCTTCAACTTTTATCAATCCCTCCATTCTTTGAACTAATATTTATTAAACACATACTATCTAGCCTGACACAATTACTGGAAGCCTCCAAGTAAGACTCAATAACACCTTCTGTCTATCAACCAAGAAAGAGAGACATCAAGATAGAAACACTTTTTTTTAAGTAATACGCTCAGTTGACCTTTATTCCATTTCTGATCTATCACTGATGCTGATTCCTTTATACTCTCATATTTCCTCCTTATCAAACTGTCTCCAAAGGACTTGGGAATAAACTGAAAATGAGAGGAAGATCCAGGATTATGATGAAAAGTGGATTTTTAGAAATAAAGTGAAAATATATTCAACATTCTATTTTATTTATTTATTTTTTAAGAGACAGGGTCTCGCTCTGTCCTGTCACCCACTCTGGAGTACAGTGGCACAATCATGGCTCACTGCAGCCTCGAACTCCTGGACTCAAGGGATCCTCCCATCTCAGCTTCCCAAGTAGCTAGGACCATAGGTATGTGCCACCAACCCAGCTAATTTTTAATTTTCTTCATAGAAATGAAGTCTCACTATGTTACTCAAACTCCTGGACTCAAGCAATCTTCCCAGCTCGGCCCTGCTGAGATTACAGGTGTGAGCCACTGTGCCCAACCTCAATACTCTAATTTTTAAAAGTGTAATATTAATTATTGATTTTATTTTATTTATAGGTAAAAAATAATTTAGATACTGAATACACACAAAAATAATCTGTGATAAATGTGTAAAGAATTTTTTTTAAAAAAAAGTAAAAGGAGCGGCCCTGTATGTACCAACATTCAGCTAGGAAACACAACTGTACCATTATCTTTGATATCTCATGTATGACCCTTTATCCTCTAGTACTTCCTATTCCCTCCAAGGGTAAGCATTATCTTGAAACCCTGATTCTTATCTTTGCCTTGCTTTTCTTTATAGTTCAAAGACAGATATATGTCCCTATTTAATATGCTGTACAGTTTTGCTTACTTCTGAACTTAAATCTTATTATACATATTATGTAGCTTGCTATTTTTGCTCAACATATGTCTCCAAATTTATTCATAATAATGAATGTAACTGTAGATCAATTACCTTGATGTAATTAATCCATCAGATATTATTAATCCATCAGATAACTATGCTCTATTTATCCATCTTTTATCAGTGTGTATTTCAGCTATTTCCCATTTGAGGTAAAGGGGTATACAAACAATACTGTTATGAACACTCTTAAGCATGACTCCAAATATTCATGACCAAGAATTTCTCCCAAGCAGTGTTTTTCAAACTACAGATTACAATCTAGTAATGGATCATTAAATCGATTTAGTTACAATAATTGGTATTTTTTTAATCGGATTATAATACAATAGAAAATATCAAGGTAATAGGCACACATTCTTAGCAATGAAACTACAGTTATAGGAATAAACTTACAAAACAGACATGCTTCATAAATTATTTTCTAAACTTTTATCATATTTAAGATTTTTCTTGTATTTAAATATTAGTAAGTTCACATTTGATATAAAAATTTTCATGTTTACCTTAATTATATGTACTAAAAATAACTATTATTATGTGAAACTTTTATTTTGTGTGTGTATAATGGGTCATGAAGTAAAATGTACTTCAGGGATAATACTAACAAAAGTTTGAAGAACACTTCTCTGGATTATATCCACTTAGAGGTGAAATTGCTAAGTCAAAGACTATTCGCATTTCAGGAGTTTTCATTACTCTACCTCCCCACCAACACTTAACTCTCAGGGTTGGAAATTTTTTTAAATCCAATAAGTACAAATGGCATCTCAGTTTTTAACTTTTCTGTTCTATTTTAATTATTAGGCCGTATCAAAATGTGCCTGACATCAATCAAATAACATAAAAATAGATGCATAAAAATGGCTCATCCACAATTTACAATCACTTTTTCTACTCTCAGCTAAGTCTTATGCTCCTTTGAGACTCAACTACCACCTCCTCAATAAATGCATCCCTTACTATCCCAGTATTTTGTAATTCTTGCCATTTCTAAATTTTTGTGTTATTATACATTTGACACATAACAAACTACCTAGTGTTGCTAATAATCTCTCTACTCATAATATCTCCCAAATTGGACTGTTAACTGTTTACAGATGAGATTGACACTAAATAATAAATTCAATAATATAAGCATTAAAACTGTCTGTAAAATACCCATAAGTCTATCCTTTGAAGAAAAAAATGACAAAATTTGAGCCTATCTTGTCTATTCTGGAAATTACTTAAACTCTAGGAAGAACACTGACCAACTGACAAGTTTTAAAAGGGTTTTCTCATTACAGTGAACTAAACTTAACAGGCACTGACAATATAAATGATACCAACAGAGAATCCTTTCATGAGAATTATTTAATAATTTAGATTTTGGCATTTGAGTGAACTTATAATAGTAATTCAAAAGGACAAACAGACTCAATCTGTAAATTAAAAAGCATAATAAGATTAAAAAATTGCTTAACAAAAACTATCATATTCCGATAATTAGTTTAATATTACATTGCATAATATAGTTTCTTATATCACAAAATCATTAAAGTAATAAGTTAAAGATTTTCTCCCAATACAAGAGCACTGTAAACTCTAAAAGTGTAAAAGTTCGTATAAATCAACATATTATCCTAATAAAATATACCCTCGATAATCTAAATAATGAAAGCACAGATATATACAGTTAAAGTTCATTTTAAAATTAAGCTTTATTAATATTTTTCAACAAAACTTTCTGAATAGAGGCAGGTCAATTCTTAATAGTCTGGCTTGAGTTAATATTAAAACAGCAAACAGAATTCAGAGGAACCATAAAGCATTAAGGGGTGACAAGAGAGAGAATGTCTGGAACAAATAATTTATTACAGATAAGCCATGAAATGAATAATTCAAATAATGGTCAAGAAAAGTCTACAGAGTAACAAGAAAATAATAGTGAGTATGAAGCAGGGATAAAAATGTGTGGGGGGTGGGGAAGGGGCATAAGGCCCAAACTCTATTAGGCAATACTTGAGCATAGTTAATTTATTATTTATACTGACCTATTTTCAAAATGGACATGAAACTTTTAACAAAAAACAAACAAAGCAGTAATTAAACCACAATAACTAAAACAATGATAAGTGGAGAAAAAGGAAGGGATAAAAGTAATTGAAATTAAGAAATAAAACTTCTGAGCCTCCTGGAAGGTAAGGAAAAAAGGAAATATAATGTTAAAAAGCAATTATCATCTAATTAAATACAATATACTAGGTTATCATAAGTCATGCTATCAAAGCACAATACTAAAAGGGAAATGTATTACATTATTTTATAACAGTGACAAAGCTAAAACATAGTCTTACCCAAAAAAATGGCAATTCTTTATACTAATAATTATTAGATTGTACTCTACAAAAGTTTTTCTGCAACCAGCGGGAAAAAAAAAATCTGTGTGTGTAACTTTCTAGTAATTTCACCAGATAGAAGTAAGATTTAAATAAGCTAAAGGATTTGTCATTCTAATTCTTATTCTATCTCATTGCTATAAATCTTGAAAATTAGGAGCTATTTAATATTTTTCAGTGGAACAACAATTCAATGGAGGGGGCTTCTGGTTTCCAGTTCAGCATGTAAGGAACTTGACAGTCGTCTTTCTCATTTACACAATAAACAAAAAAGCTGAACAAACTGAAAATCAACAACTCTTTTCAGATCCATCAGAGAATTGAGACTATCTAGCAAACCAACGTCCCCAAAATTGAAGAGACAGGCAAACAGAGAGAATAACAACTTAATGGAACAGATGCCCAGGAGAAAAACCTTTCACAGGAGCCAGCACCAGGGTGGAAAAACTTATTCTGTAATTAATGAATTATTAGAAGATCAATATGGACAAGTCTGAGAGTTTAAAACTCAAGGATGGCCCAGTTTTGGGCAGGGGAAGGGGACAAACAGCACTCAGAGGAATCATAAAACAGTAAGAGGTGACACATTTTCATAAGTGTAACCTACTGGATCCCTGTCATGTTGCCACAGGGAAGATCAGACAATAATTCCTTCCTGTTTCCAGTATGTGGAGGGAGAAAGTAACCATTTTTAAACACACTCAGAGTATTCTTTTCTTCTTACCAAGGCCTGCCGTCGAGAAAAACTATTTTACCAGAGCCCAGACTCATGGGGTTTTACCTGAGCCTAACTAACCAACTTGGAGAAGGGAAATACCCAACTCAAGCACCTTCTAGCCTTCCTGTCTCTTCTAAGGGGATAAGGGGAGGGGGAAAACAAACAAACAAAAAACTAAGAAGCACTTTTGAAGGTCACAATTCAGAAGTACAGCTCACCAAAAGATTGAAACCTAAACATAACACTACAGACAGCTTCCTCTCCTCCCCCAATACCCCACCACCACATCAATGGGGCTATTGTATAATTAATAGGTTTGACCAAAAACAGCAGTTTAAATAGCAACTATTAAATTAAATTGCCTCTGTAGGTAGCTAACTGTAACCTAACAATATGTAAACACAACCCTACTTGAGAGTATATTTTTGTACAGTAGCCAAGTCTCAGCCAATCACAGCAGCCAAGCATTGAGCCAATCACAAGGGCAAATTGCCAAAACATGTCCAAATAAGGCAAACTCCAAACTGTAACCAATCTGGCTATTTCTGTGTGTCACTTCCATTGTCTGGTTATACATAGTCCCAGCCCACATTGGGAAGCAGAGCTCTCTGAACCACTTTGAGTGTTACCCACCTCAAAGTGAAACACCTGAGTGTTACCCAATTCATGAATTTTTTTTCATCTCAATTAAACTCCATTGAATTTAATTTGTTTAAAGTTTTTCTTTTTAAGAAAATCGAATTATGCATATCAAGGATATTTATAAAGTATCTACAAAACTTCAAAAAAGACATGGATACCAGAGTTTTATCTCTAACTCATACCACAGCGAACAGTGGAGACAGCCTAATCTCTAGCCAGATAAACATAAAATCTATTTACCCCAGCTGTTTTTACCCATTTGGTTAATTTTATATGTCAATTTGGCTATACTACCCATGGTACACACATTCTTACCTAACACCAGTCTAGATATTATTGTGAAAGTATTCTTTAGATGTGGTTAACATTTAAATTAATGGGATTTTGAGAAAAGCAGATTACCCTTCATAATGTGGGCTGGCCTCATCCAATCAGTTGAAGGCCTCAAGAAAATACTATGATCCCCAGAGCAGGAAGAAATTCTACCTCCAGACTACCTTAGGATTTGCAATGTAACATAAAGTCTTCCCTAGGTCTCCATTCTGACGGACTGCCCTGCAGATTTACTTGCCAGCCCATGACTGCGTGAGCTATTACTTAAAATAAAACAGTATACATATGTAACAAACCTGCACGTTAGGCACATGTACCCTAAAACTTAAAGTATAATAATAATAAGAAGAAGAAGAAGAAGAAGAAAATAAAAAATAATAATAATAAAATAAAACAATCAATCAATCAATCCCTCTATCTCCCCACCCCATAATGTCACATTTCTTCATTCCTTTCCATTACTTTGTCAGAGTTCAGTGATCTCTTAAAATGTCATATGCCATCCCCCTTATATTGCTTTCTAAAACTCATTTTAAAACTTCATGACTGCTAAATGTAATGTCTTTTTCAAAAACCCATTCCATTTTTTGTAGCATTTTACAATGACAACCTTTTGCTTCTTGCAACTCTCTTCTCTCAATTCATGAGATACTGCATTGTACTTCCAACTCTTTTCTCTCAATTCATGAGATACTGCATTGTACTTCCTCCTTACTTATCTAAAGTCTTTTAGTCTTTTTTACTACAATTTTTCCTTCCTCATTAAAAAATCAGTAAATATCTTGTTTTCAAAGTTTTCACTGCTTAAAGTCTTCCCTCTAACTAAACCATTAAATACTCATAACTCCAGGTAAAAACTCTCTCCCAAGTATCAGATTCGTGCTTCTAACAGTTTGCTAAATATCTCTAAATGGAATTCCTATCAGCATCTAAAACATGAACTTTCTACAAGAAGCTCAAAACCTTACCTTCAAAACAATATATACTTCCTGAAAATAACCCTCTTTTTGATAATAATGCCACTGTTCTCCTGGTTTCTCCAAGCTTAAAACCTGAGTCATTTTCAAAATTACTATGAAGTCCTTACGGTTCCATTTACATGCCTTTCATTCCTGCCAACCTAATAATTCAGGTCCATGTCAGTGGACCTGACTATGAAATAACTATTAATAATTACTTGCTGGGTATACAGTCATCTGTATGAGACTAAAGAGTGGATGAGAGAGAAATAGACTCTGCCCTCATAGAAACTACAAAGTAGTGTAGGAGAATATGGCAATTTCCACCTTACTTCTATCCTCACCTAATCATCAAAGATATTTAAAAAGCATTAAAGGCAAGAAATGTAACTCTGAATATTCTACAACACCATCACAGGATAATATATACATTTAATACAATATTTTATTGAACCTAACTGAAAATATACCTTGTACAAAGTTATAACCATCATTGCACAAAAATGAAATGATTAATCCTAAGAAATTTGGGTCCCTACAAAGTAAATGATTTCTCTTATGAGAGTTTAGTATGTTATATATAAGCTATGTGATTCCACTCAAAAGATAAATAATGAAATAATCTCTACTCAAGGATGCAGAAGTAGACAAAGAATTTAGCAAAGAAAAGGGGGAAATATATTTTCATTTACAAAAGGCAATGTTTTCTAAGGGTATGCTATGGTTATCCAAAGCTGGTAAACCAAAGAGCATTCACTAAAGCTCTGCAAACTTAATGCCTAAGGATATTAAAAAGACCCATTTTCCCAAAACCCATTTTCCTTCTCTAACAGAAGAGAGGTATAATTGAGGAAGAGCCTGCTACACTTGTATCTACATTTTCTCAAATCACCTGAATCTTGGGGTAGCCAATTTTTTTTCCAGTAAAATGTGAATACAAATGATGTTTACCATGTCTGGGTCATAAGGCTGTACTTGTTAAGCAGCTTAGCCTAATCTAATTAATACACCAGGCACATGACAACATTTACCTATTTTAGAGTATATTTTAATATTGTTTGATACTTGGGTGGTAAACACAACTGTTTCTTTCCAGAACAAATTTACTAAAATGTTATTCTTAACATTTTATCATTATAGTACCAATTATGACATTTTCTATAGGAAAAACTCAACTGTGGAAAAGGTATAAATTTCAGATTTGTATGTTATATTGGAATCAATATTCCTTTTTAGAACGAACTGACAGAAATGTAGGGAATGGAACTTTTACTCTTTTCATGAAACAACTTTATAACAATAACTGATCCTAGATCAAAGTTCTCATGAACCTTTCATTGGTTAGAAAGGAAAATAAATTCAAAAGTCAAAACAGCATAGTTGCCAAAAAGGTACCTCCCAAGAAAAATTATAGTTTATTTGCTCCATAATGAGCTTGAGTATAAAATGAATTTAAATATTATATAATGATATTAGCCACTCTTAAAATAAATTTCTTTCACTTCTTTTTTGAGATGTTTATATCTTGAAAATTGCTCCAGAAAGCATGACCACATACACTTTTGGGTGATTACATACTGATTATACAATCACACATAATTTTACATATTACATATAAATATAAATATATGTAATTGTATAATGTACTGATTATACATAAAAGATAGGACTGTACTTGATATAGTGTGAATATTTGTCCCTGCCCAAATCTCACATTGAGTTGTAATCCCCAAAGCTGAAAGTGGGGGCTGATGAGAGGTGTTTGGGTCATGAGGGTAAATCCCTCATGGCTTGATGCTGATTTTGCATAGCGAGTGAGTTTTCACGAGCTCTTGTTTAAAAGTGTGTGGCGCCTCCCTCACCATGCCCTGTCTCTCTCTCTCTTGCTCCTGCTATAACCATGTGAAGTGTCACATGCTTTGCCTTCTGACATGAGTAAAGCTCCTTGAGGCTTCCCAAGAAGCAGATGTTCCTGTGCGTCCTGTACTGTCTGCAGAACCATAAGCCAATGAAACCTCTTTCTTATTAATTACCCAGTCTCAGGTATTTATTTATAACAGTGGAAGAATAGCCTAATATAGTATTAATACAAAAATACAAGTTTTAAGTGTAAATAATATGACCTCAATTTTTATCTTTTCTACAAATAAAGTCATCTGAAAATTTACAAGCTTCAGAAGTAAATGATAACTGCTAATAATGGCAAAATTCAACAAAACAAATAATAATAGCTAGATACTATTATAAAACTGTAACATTATACAAAAAGTTACAGCCTATTAATTCAGAAAACAAAAGGGTACAAGCAAAGTATTAATAATGAAGAATAATCTTACTAGTGACTTCAAAATAGTAATGCTTTAACATAATAAGGACCCTAATATTCTCAATAAACACTATTGCAAAACAAAAATAATTTTAATGATCTACTACCCAAAACAAGTATAGTGATTTTAAATATTTTTATTATAACACCAACCTGTTCAAATTCTTGTATTTTGGCATCCTTGACTTGCAGAATTTCTAGAACTTTTCTGTCTTTACCTTCAGATTTCTGTTTTTCTCTAGATACAAAAATATATAGAGTTTATTAGTCATAATTGGTAGCTAATACTTTAAATTTTCATATCCCAAATATTAACATCACTTTAAAATATAGAAAATTAAATTATCTTGAGTTGACAGCTCTTTCAGAATTAATCAGAAACCATATGGCAAGTGACAGCAACTCACAACTGCTGAAAACTAAGACAACTTCATACTAAAAGAACAGTTTCATTTCCAGATTTAGATATATGATAAAAATTACACAAAATATGGTTTAACCTTGATTGCAATTACCATAATGTCATTGCTTTGAAAATAATTAAAATTAAGTAAACATGTTCTTGTTAATTTAAGCTTTCATATACACAATTATAAAAATTTACCATTTTTTAAGTAAGAGTCTCAAAAGAGAGATTGACAGAGATTTACTTATAGTTGATATCCTATAACTAGAATTTTTTTATTTCTGACACCTTCCTATACATTTCTAGTCTCTGAGACTACTATTAACTAAACTAAATGGTAGTTGTACACTCAAAGCATAGTTCTCTGGGAAACAGAAAATCACAATACTTGTAAAGAATGACTATATTCTAAAACAAATATAGCTTTTAAACAAATACAGCTTTACAAAGGAAAAGGAGGAAAAGGGAAAGGAAGGAACAAAGGTCTGAAGAGACTGTATAATCAGGCTGACACCAGTCAATTTATACCATAAATAAGGGGAAATTTATTGGACACTGACTTACATTTTTTGAAAAGGTCACAAATAAAATATATGGTATTCATAGAAAAACATAAAAAATTAAACAGACAAATTTGTATCTCTGAGAATCACAAATTAAACAAAAATAGAAAACTATAAATGGGGATGAAGCTACTGTTTGCTGTCCCCTAGATTCAGATGCAGGCTGAGGTGCAAAGGAGCTTGACTTCTGGAGTTAATAGGGAATAAGAGTGCCTTACCCAGTATGCAGAAGCACAACCAGGCTCATTGTGTGGGACTGGAATGCTAACTCATGAAGTGAAGCTGGAAAAATGCTTCCACCCATCCTTGCCTAGAACCAAGGCTTATATTAGAGTCTAGAAAGGCAAAAGTTTATAGACGTAGCTCCCCATTCAAGACTTGAGCCAGAACACCCTGCAGCTGAGGCTAGGTATAGCAAAACCTCTATAAAACCTATTTCAGGGAAGAGACTTGGGTGAGATTGACAATTTAAAGGCAACTATAAAATTTCTAGAAAAAAAAAAGATAGGCATTAGATAAGCACCTGGTGGTGGAGAAAGAGGAGGAAGTAAACAGTAACAATAACAGCAACCTTCCCTCTTCAGATATGACCCCAAACAAAAAAATTCAAAATACATGAACCCACATACACTGACATACTAAGTTCAAGTCAAAAGATGCAATCCTCTAGTAAAAATAAAAATAATCAACTACAATGAAAAAGACTAAAATAAGTAAGTTAAAGGTCCATAAAGACAAAAGAATAACTAATGTTAAAAGTAAAGATGAGAGCTGAAACACGATCAGGTAGATGTAAAGAAGCGATTAAAATCTTGAAGATAAAAAATTATAATCACTGAAGTAAAAAACAACTAAATGGACTAAGCTCAAAACTAGACACAAAAAGAGATTAGTGAAATGAGGGATAGTAATAAGGGATTCATCCAGAACACTACACAGGAAAATAGTGAGATTAAAAACATGAAAACACAGTTGAGACATAAGTTTCTCTGGGAAACTCTAACATATGCCTAAAACATTCCAGAAGTAATAACTATGGGATGAAAAATAAAGCAGTATTTCAGGAGGTAACTGCTGAGAATATTTTAGAATTAAATAAAGTTCTCAGATTGAAGGAATACCTAGCAGAATACATAAAAGAAAGCCACATCTAACACATTAATCCATCATTCATTCAAGTATTTACTGCGCATTTATTACATGATAGCCTTTGGACTAGGGACTAGAGATATTGGAGGAAACAAAATAAACCAAGTTGCTGCCTTCATGGAATTAACATTTTAGTACATAGATAATGAAGATAAATAATACATACTATGTCAAATTGCTATCAGTATAATAAGGACAATAAATTAGGGTAACAAAGAAAGGAATGCCCAGTCCTAGAGAAGTTGGGAGAGAAACAAAGGTTGTTGTTATTTTACATAGGACAGTTAACAAATAACTCTCCTTAAAGGTAATATTATATTTGAGAAGAGATCTAAAGGAAGGAAGGAAGAGTCATGAAGACCCCAGGGAAGAGTTTTCCAAGTCAAGTCACGGAACTAGTAGCAAGAGCAAAGACACAAGAGCAAGGGCAATTGGTATATTCAAAGAACAGCACAGAAGTGCATACATTTATAGTAAAGTGGATAAGGAAATGGTAGCTAAGAACAGAGAAATCACTGGGGATACAATAATATATGGCCTTCTAGGCCCTGTGAAATTTGGATCTGAAGTGAAATGGGAAAGCAATGAGCAGAAAAATAACATGTAACATTCTAAAAGTATCAGTGGCTGGTGGGTTGAGGACAGACATTAAGGGTCAAGGGAGAAAGCAAAAAGACAAGTGAGAAAGCACATGAAACAGCCAGGTAAAAAAGAAAGGTGAATTGTACAAGATAGGCAGATGCAGTGGTATTGGGAAGTGATTAAATTTTGGATATTTTAAAGATAGAGCTAACAGGATTTCTTGATAGAAAAGTCAGGAATGTCTCCAAAGCTTTTGCCTACACAACTGGAAGAACAGAGTAGACATTATTTGAGACACAGAGAAGAAGTTTGGTGGACACAAGGATTTCAAATGTGGACATACTAAGTTTGAGATGCCTAATCAACATCCAAGAGAAGTAGGCAGTTGGATTAAAAAGTCTGGAATCAGTAAAAAAGTTAAGGCTGGAGATACAACTTTAGGAGTCATCCAAATACAGTAGTTCCCCCTTACCCTCAGTTTCACTTTCCATGGCTTCAGTTACCAGCAGTCAACTGTGATCCAAAAATATTAAATCAGAAGTTCAAGAAATAAACAATCCACAAGCGTTAAATTGCAGTGTTATTCTAAATACATGAAAAAACTTGCACCGTGCAACTCCCAACTCACGTAGGACGTGAATCATCTCTTTGTCGGAAGTATCCATGCTATAAACACTACCTGTCTATTACTGTGTAGGATAAAACATAGTGTACTTAGGATTCAGTGCTATCCATGGTTTCAGGTATCCACTGGGAGGCTTGGAATATATCCCCCATGGATAAGGCAGACTACTGTATTTTTAAGACCATAAGGGTAGACAGGTTCGCCTATGCAGTGATTTTGCATAAAGAAGTACGAGGATTGAGTCCTGGAGCATTTCAACATTTATAGATTAGTAAAATAAGGAAAAAACATCACATGATACTAAGAAGGACAAGCCAGTAATTTAAGAGGAGAATCAAGAGAAAGAGCTAAGCGAATAGAATTTAGTAGAAAGAAATGATCAAGTACATCAAATGCTGCCAACACACTAAAGACGGTAAAGACTGAGGAATGACTGCTGGATTTAGCAATATTAACGTATTAGTCTGTTTTCACACTGCTGATAAAGACATATCCGAGACTGGGAAGAAGAAGAGGTTTAACTGGACTTACAGTTCGACATGGCTGGGGAGGCCTCAGAATCATGGCGGAAGGTGAAAGGTACTTCTTACACATGGAGCGCCAAGAGAAAATGAGGAAGATGCAAAAGCAGAAACCCCTGATAAAACCATCAGATCTCAAGGCCTTGCTTTCATATACCATTATATTCACTACCATGAGAACAGTATGGGGGAAACCACCCCCATGGTTCAAATTGTCACCCACTAGGTCCTTTCCATAACACATTGGGAATTATGGGACTACAACTGAAGATGAGATTTGGGTGGGGACACAGAGCCTAACCATATCAATTAAGGTCAGTAGTGATATCTTGATGAGAACTATTTTAGGAGGATGGTGATTACAAAGCCTAATTAGGGTGAGTTCAAGTGAGAAAGAAAAACACAGAAATACTGAAAAGTACTCTTCAGGGGAATTTTGCACAGAAAGGAGCAGAGAAATGGCAAAATAGTTCAAGGGAAATATGAGATCACAAGAGTTTTGTTTTTTTGTTTTTTAACATGGGAAAGAAGACAGCCTGTGTGTATGCTGACAGGAATGATCCAGGGCAGTGAGAGACACTGATGATGCAGGAGAAAAGAGAACTGCAGTCCAACACCTTTGAATCCTTGAGGCTTGAAGCGTACATATAGTTTGTTTGGCCTTTGGTAAATATAAACAGTTCTTCCAAAGAAATAAAAAGAGAGAATATGAGAACAGATTCAGATATGTTGGTAGATACAGTTATGGAAGGAATAACAAGCTCCCTTCTAAGAGTTTCCACTTTCTCAATGGTATATGAAAGCAAAGGTATCCAACAGCTGAAAGTAAGAATGGGAAAAGAAGTGTTGGAAGTTGATAAGAGAGGAAACAAAACATTATAGGATGCTGAGATAGTAAGTGGGCCAGGAAAAAATAGGATGATGACCAGGCAGTACTGAGGACCACTTAAAATTAGTGGTCATAAATTTATACAAGATCATTGTCATCATGGTTCAGGGTCTTTCTCAAGACAAGTTTAGCCTTTTGGATGTAGGCACACAAAGGGTGGACAACTGGAATAAACCACACTGGAAATTTTGCAAACACGTATATCATGATGATTTATTTTTACCATTTGTACTTTATCTTGATTATTTTGTTTTCTACTTACCATACATTAATAGCACATTTAACACATAATTGCAATCCATTGTATACAACTAGGCCTTCTTTTGTTTCTTATATTAATAATAAAATACACTATACTTTCAGAAATTGATGAATTTCTGCCCCTTTTTATTTTATGTTTTGGCATTGCCTGTCAATGTATCTGCCATTTTATATTTTAGTGTTTTTATTGATTTACACAACTATTTTATGTTTAAAATACATGCACTTTACCTATAATTTGT